GAAGGATTTAAGGATTATCCTTAAATGCAAAGGTGGTTAACATCCAAAGGTCAGTAAGTATACATAAGGCATGTGAATAGAATATAGGATAAGGCTAGGCATGGGAGCACACGCCTTTGATCCCAGCACTTGGGGAGGCAGAGGCAAGCAGATCTCTCTGTGAGTCTGAGGCCATTCAGGTCTATATAGTGAAGTCCAGGCCAGCCAGGGATGAGAGGGAGACCCTGTCTCAAACAAACAAAAACCCAAAGCAAAACAAACAAACAAACAGCCATAGAATAAAGAACAAACCTGGTGTGGAATACTAGTTGAAGACGTGTTGCATGTGTTTATGCTGTGGAACATTTGTTTAATGATGCAAAAATGTGTTCCATTCTTTTATGTTGCATTTGTTTAACTCTGTGGAGCTGTGTTACTTTGCCTGTCTAAAACACCTGATTGGTCTAAGAAAGAGCTGAACGTCCAATAGCTAGGCAGGAGAAAGGATAGGTGGGGCTGACAGGCAAAGAGAATAAATAGGAGGAGAAATTTGGGAAGAGAAGATCAGGGAGCAAGAAAGGAGAAGGAGAGGAGGACTCAGGGGCCAGCCACCCAGCTACACAGCCAGCTATGGAGTGAGAAGGAAAGAAAGGTAAAATCCCAGAGGCAAACAATAGATGGGATAATTTAAGAAAAGCTGGCAAGAAACAAGCCATGCTAAGACTGAGCATTCATAAAAAAAAATAAGACTCCATGTGATTTATTTGGGAGCCGGGTAGCAGGCCTCCAAAGAGCAAAGAATAAAACAACAACAAAAAAACAAAACCAAAAAAAACCAACTACACAAACCCACACGAGCATCCCAAGAGATAAAAAAAATTACATGACAAAATCCAACACCTCCTTATTGTTAAAATCAAAAACACTCAACAAACTAGGAATAGAACAGGACATGTGTCTGACAAGCCCAAACCACTTAAGAAGACTGAGCAGAACAGTAGAAAACCTCAACACTTTCCTTCCTCAAAACAAGGACAGCTGCTCTCGACACGTCCATTGAACTCTGTGTCAGAGGTTCTAGCAACAGCAACTAGGTCAGAAAATAAAGTAAAAGGCATTCAAAGCAAGAAGCAAAACCATCTCTATTTCTAAGCAGCAAGGTCCATAATTGAATGTCCTGAAGAGTCCACCAAAAGTATGTTTAAGTTTGCATAGTGCAAGTTCAAACTACAACTAAATTTCCATAAGCAAAGAACAGTCTGAAAATGACATTGAGAAAATAATTCCATTTATATCATCAAAAAGAATAGGATACTGAAGAATAAATCGAATAATAATCGAACCCTGAGATTTGTGTAGTGAGACATGGCGAGATCATAAAATAGGGAGGTTTTTAAAAGTCCTGCCTTAAAGAAGGAGATCAAAGCCAGGGGAGGCTTTCAACTCCCCTCGAAGCAGCTGGAAACACAGGGGAGACGGGTGGGTCGGGTGCAGCCCCTCTGGACAGGGAGGCTAGCTGCAGAGGAAGCCCAGGATTTGGAGAACTGAGAGCATCATCCAGCATTCTGTCTTTGCCCAGCTGCAGGCTGAGTTAAGTCCTTGGAAGGTGGAGGGTCCAAGTGTGGCCCTCAGAGGCTTAGAGGCCCCTGAGAAACCTCAGATCTGCAGCCCTGATGGCTTCACCTCTGGGGCCCTGCGTTTGAGAACAGTCTTCAAGGCCTGTAGGATAGTGTCCTGGCTGTTACGTATGTTGTAGTCAGTGAGCTGAAGCAGATGGTCAAAATCTTCCTCCTTGTAGGTCATGTTGTACATCATGTAAGGGGAGGCTTCTCCTGTGAGATCCACCTGCCCACCCTTGAGCTCAGCAGGACTGCGCTGGACACCTGCCCAAGGGTGAGAGGAACATCAGGAGCAGAAGAAGGCCTTCCACAAGCAGGCAGGATGAAGCCTCCCAGTCAGGCCCAGAGGAGGCTGAGCCCTGTGGAAGGGGTTCTTGCTTTTCCCTTCACCCCAAAATACAAATGTGGATGGTAAGAAATGATTTTGAGGTAAGAGGAGGCTGTCACCCTTACACTCCTACAGCATGACATGCCTCCCACAGTTCGGACAGCCCATGGGGCTGCGCCATGGCTTCTCAGGAAGCTAGAAGCTGCCACAGTGAGGAACAAGGTGATTGATGAATGGATTCTTAAGGCTCCTGGTGGGAACAAAGAGGAATAGCTAAGGGTAGAACTGGAAGGCCTGTACCTAAGGCCTGTCATCTGGCTACTCAGAAGGCTGAGGCAGGATTGTGAGTCCCAGGCCTGGTCTAACACTGAGAGCACAGACAGCCTGGGCAACTGTGGGTGGGGGGTGTGGTTCCTGAGCACTTGCTAGTATGTGGGAGGCCTTAGATTTAATACCCAGTATAAGAAAAGAAAAGGAAATGGGGCCTGGAAAGATAACAGATCAGTTAAAAGCACTGGCTGCTCTTCTAGAGGACCTGGGTTTGAGTTCCAGCACCCACATGGCAGCTCACAACCATCTGTAACTTCAGTTCCAGAGGGTCCGGTGGTGCCCTTTCTGGCCTCCTTGGGCACCAGAGCATGCAAGTGGCACACAGACGTACATGCAGGCAAAACACCCATATTTGGGAAAGAAAAGAAAGGAAGGAAAATAAAAGAAGAAAAGGTGGAGTCGGAAACCAAGAGTGATCGCACACACAAGTAATCTCAACACCCAGGAAGCTGAGGCAGGATCGCTGTGAAGTTGAGGCCGCTAGTGAGTACCACGTCGGCTGAGGCTCTCCAGAAAGGCCTTACATCAAAACGAACAACCAAAAAAGAGTAAAACTGGAAGGTTCGGAATTGTGGTGTCAGCTAGAAAACTGGGACCAACGCACGAAGGCAGGCATTAGACTTTCCTACCCAAAGAAGATAAAATTCTGACAAGTTCGTGGAAATGAGGCTAGGAAGGAATGTGATGAGGGCTTAGATTTAAGAGGCACTCGAAGAAAAGGCCCAGGTCCCTGAGAAGGGGTCCCAGGCCACAAGGGCAGGAAACCAGAGGGTTCAGGACAAAGTTCCAGGACAATGACAAGACCAGTAACAGAAAGATGTTACAAAGGTGTGGGCATCAGCCACCTAGACCTGGGAGGCGCGGCTAGACCTGGGAGGCGTGGCCAGACCAGAGAGGCGTGGCTAGAAAGAGCCTGAAGACCCGCCAAAAGCCTTTCCTGGAGGACACGGGAAGGGAATGGTGACCTCACCAGGGGCTGAGTGGTCCCTGAAGGAGCCATTGACCAGCGGGAAGTGCAGCAGAACAGGTGCCTCAGGGCAGGAGGGATCTGAGAAAAGGTGGCATTCCTGGGGCTGGCGTTGGTCCTCGGGGCTGGGCTCCACGTGGGGGAAGGGCAGGCCCTGAGCTTTGCAGTATTTCTCAGATTGCTGCAGCCCCTAGAGGAGCAGAGGAAAGCAGAGAGGAAGCTGTGTCATCTCAGATCCACGCTGGGTCTGTTCCAACACCCACTTGCTCCCTCAGCATCAAGACAGCAGTCTGGCCCTGTCCCGAGTTACACAGGCCACGGAGGGAACCCAAGGATCCGGGTAGTTAGAAGTTATGGGTGGGAATGAACACCCAGCCGTCGTTCCCACCCACCCCGTACTGTCATTACACCTTCAGATGAGTCTTACACCAGGAGGGCTTCAGCCCCGGACTGTGCATGCTGGCATTACTGCCGCCCAGAGTCCCTAGAGAAAGTTGAGAGTTGGCTGTGGAGACGCTTGGGACCTCTTGCCAACTCTCTCCAGCTATTCTGTCCCAAAGAGGTTCCGTTCACCTGTCGTGGGATCCCAGAGCTCAGCCACCAGCACTGCCCTTCCCAACTGAGGACCCAGAGAGACCCCGTGGATTACAGCTTCCTCCCTCAGTCAGGGGAAGTGTGGGGCAGTGGCAGCGTGGCCCTGCTGCTGCTCATCCATGGAGGTGGGTCTAGCCAGACAGAGGGGTTCCCACAGACTGACTAGGCACCTCAAAGGGCGAGAATTGGGAGTAGTTGAAGGAGAGTATGAGGTCCACTTGGCGCCCCGGGCGGACCATGGAGGGACAGCTGTTGTTGATGAAATAGGCAGCATCCACTAGGCAGAGCTGAGTGTCCTGTGGGGTCAGCTGATTGGGGGTGTCATCCAGGTGGCAATCTAATAGGAAAGGCAATGCTGATTATAAACAGACACCTTTACACAGGTAGCCCCAACACCCTCTGACCCCACTTTCCTCCATGTCCCCTTCTTATGCCCGGTGTCCCATCTGAATTCAGGTCCCCTAGACTTCACAATGGGACCTCCAGACCACACCCCGGAAGTGCATACACGCTCTCCCTGCAAACCTCTGTCAGCTAGCAGCCACAGCTCAACCCCAACCAGGAGCCTGGCCTTGTGGGGACACATGGTCCTTACCTGCCCAGGTGGAGAAGTCTTTCTGGTTACGGTAGTCCCGGTGCAGCTGGAGGCCATGGAGGAAGTTGGCACAGCGCTGGTGGAACGGCCGGCCATTCAGAAAGCCCTTAAATGCCTGGGCCAGGGCTGTTCCAGGCTGCAGCCATGAGGCCTCCACACAGCCTGCTGAGGCTGAGGCCTCCTCTGGATCAAGAGGAACAGACATTGCTTGTATGAGGGGCCCCCAAATGCCTTCCCATCCTCTCTTCCACCAGCCTCCAAAAGGGCGTGGCCTCATCCCTGTCTCCCACCTCCAACACCCCTCTCCTACCTGAGTTCTGGACATCCACAATGAAGTTCTTCCAGTCTTTCCCAGAGGTGACATCATACCAGATGTCCATCAAGTTCACAGAGAAAATGTTGCTCCAGATACCTGAGGGCCAAATTCCCAAAACCAAACACAGTCCTTAGGTCCCTGAACCCTGTCTTTCCCACGCGGACACCAAGTGATCCCCACTCTTGGGTGCCAATGGGAAATGGGCCTGGGGAGAGAGCAGATCCCTCAGTGGGTCTTCTCCACTGCCCACCTGTCCCCCACCCAGGGATTCTACCCAGTCCTGAGCTACAGGAGTCCTGCCCAGGAAGAGGCTTCCACTCACCTTCCAGAAAGCAGATCTGGGACTCTGGAAGCCTCTTCATCAGCTGCCCCATGAAGAACTCAGAACCAAAGAGTTCAGGAGGGACAAAGCCTCCATATTTCAGGAACCCAACTTCATAGGGAGAGAACTCCACCCATTCTAATGGGATGGGAAAGAGAGGTGAGGAGGGGGGGGGGCTCAACTCCCCGTTGAGGGCCAGTGACACGGCCCTGGCAGGCCTTTGGCTCCCCCATCTGCTACCAACCCTGCAGATTTGAGGAGAACAGACTCCTAGGAGAACATCCTTACTTACCCCTGTCCACATGTACAGACACCCCACCCCCAAGGACAGAGTGATCCCTGGCTGGCTCTTGGGCTCCTCAATGATAGTATCCCTCCAGAAGCTAGCTATTGTGTGCGGGAGTCGGGAGTTGTGCTATTTGGGTTCTCTGGGGCCTCTCGGGGCATGGAGGAATAGATAGAGGATGGAATGGGCAGGATTTTACCCTTGAAGTGGAGGGTGTCCAGGTTGTTCTCTTTGACATTGAGGCTCAAGTAGAGGGGCAGAGGGTTCTGACCATGCTCCAGTGCAGCCCTCTGTCCTGACAGAGTCTGGTCTCTCACCTAGGGTTGAAAGTATGAGGACATGGGTGAGTAGGGGTGCCTTTCAGGCAGTAACTCCAACAGGGCCAGGGCAGGGTAGAGACACAGAGGATGGTGAGGAGGCTGCGCTCTGGGTTACAGGGGTTATGAGTGAGTATGTGTAACCAGTTCTGATCAGTTCCATATGCAGTCTACCATATCTCCAGAGAGGATCATTCTCAAAGACTATGATGTCAACAGCTCCTCCTCTCCTCCCCATTCTTTACACACACACACACACACACACACACACACACACACACACACACAGATAGATATACATAGACACATACATACATAGACACAAACAGACACAGAGAGATAGATACACACACAGAGACACACAGACACACACATACATATATAGACACACACAGAGAGATAGACGCACACACACATATATACACACAGACAGATAGATACACACAGACACATACATATACACACATACATAGACACACAAACAGACACAGAGACACATAGACACACACAGACAGAGACACGCACACATACACACACAGACAGATACACACAGACACATACATATACACACATATATAGACACACACCCAGTGACACACACAGACACACAAACAGACACAGAGACACACATACACACACAGACACAGAGAGATTGCTACACACACAGAGACACATACATAGACACATACACACACACACATACACAAACACAGAGAGATACACACAAAGAGACACACACATAGACAGACACACACACATAAACACAAACACAGAGAGACACACACATAGACACACACACACATACACACACACACAAACACAGAGAGATATACACACAAAGACACACATACATACACACAGAGACACACATATAGACACTCACACACACACATCTTTCCAAGAAGCACACAGCAATCTTTTAGCCCACATTCTACGCCATGCCAAGGGATGCGATGTCCTTTTGAGGTCCACTTTACTGCGTTTCAAGTCTAGGCTTCTTCCACTGCTTCCCTGACATCCTTGCTCCATCATCTCCCTCAGCCTCACAGCAAGGTGGATGCCAGCCTGGGCTACATGAGACCGTCTCAGAAAGATTACTATAAATTATATACCTGAACTCATGCTGAAGTCATTATTAGAGGATCAAATGGCAATTAAATAAAAGTTTTCTTTATAGCTGGGATCAAACTGTGTTATTTTAGCACCTCATAAAATGTCCTGTAAATAAGCTCCTCCTTCTGTGTTAATTAGCTGTTGCCGCCAGACAGAAGTCAGTTAGTAAGAGCACAGCACATTCTAAGCAGAATCTGAACTTAAAGAACACACAGCACACGTTAATACAATAAAAAACATTTCAAGTAATTACTTGGGCCTAATGAATTCAAAGCCATTTCAATTAGAATCCCAATATTAATAGGGAAACACGACTAATTGATTCTATTATGGAGAGCAGAAGGCCAAGAGCAGCCAGAATAATTTGAAAGAAGAATCAAACAGATGCTCATTGGTCAGCAGAATTAGTACTGTGGAACAAGACCTTCTACACACAGCAGGGCCGGTGCCCTTAAGAACTCACGAGACTGACAGCATGCACAGGGCCTGAGCAGATGTGCGCCAGATGAGTCCCAGCACTGAGAGAGGTAGACACATGCCCCCATCGCTAATTTAGAAGCTCTCTCCAACTGACAGCCTCTTAGTTTTCTCCAACGCAATCTCATTGGAGATGAAATGAAAAGTCAGTTGTCTCCAACGATTCTCACTGGGAATACAATCTGCTCAAGGGCAGGCCCCAGGCCCAGCAGTAGACGGCCAACACAAAAAAGGAACTCAATGGCATCTTTGGAGGTTCTTTGTCTCATAAGATTTTGTCAGGACATTTCTTCTCCTTCTCCTCCTCCTTCTTCTTCTTCCTCCTCCTTCCTCCTCTCACTCCTTCATCTTACAGGTCCTTTGTGTGTATATTAGAGCTTCTGGTTTTGTGTTTTTATGGGATTCCTGTTTGTGAATATGTATGTCTCCGTGTCTATATGTGTTTCTTGTGGTTTTTATTGGCTCTTTTTCTTCTGTTTGTTTGGTTCTATTCAGATTTTTTTCTGTTCTCCCCCCCCCTTTTTCTAGATAGGGTTTATTTGTATACCAGCCCTGGATGTTCTGGAACTCACTCTGATGACCAGGCTGGCCTTGAACTCTGAGGTATCTGTCTGCCTCTGCTGGGATTAAAGGCGTGCGCCACCACCGCCCGGCTAACAAATGGGAGTCTAATAAATTAGCTTCTGTGTAGCAAAGGAAACAACCATCAGAGCAAAGAGACAGTCTACAACCAGCGGGAAAATGTCATCAGCGACCCACCTGACGAGATTAATATCTGGAATATATAAAGAGCTCAAAAAACTAAATACTCCAAACCCCAGAATCTAATCTACAGTTGGACAAATTCTCAAAAGAAGCACAAATGTCCAGTAAATATGTGATTCAGCATCCTTAGGCATAAAGGAAATACAAGTAAAACTACATTGAGATGCCATCTTACCCAAGTCTCAGTGCTTATTATCAAGAAAAGGAACAGCAATAAATAAATGCTGAGGAAGATTTGAGGGAAAAGGCTCCTGGGAATGCAAATCAGAGCGGTCACTATGGACATGAGTATGGAGGTCCTAAGAAAAAACAAAAACAAAGGCAAGCAAACCAAAACACCAGCCTAAAAATAGAACTACCATACCTGGACCTCTTCTGGGCATCCGCCCAAAGGCTCTATGTCAGCACACTACAGCTGTGACACCATATTCATTTCAACAGTGTTTATGATAGCCAAGTTACAGAACCCAGCTTAGGTGTCCACCGTCAGATGAACGGGCACAGGAAATAGGGCATATACACAATGGAGTTCCTTCAGCCACAGAGAATAAAATGCATGCAACTACAGGTCACCGTGTCTAGCAAAACAAGCCAGCCTCAGGAAGCACATATTTTCTCTCAGGTGGAATCTAGATTTGTTTTTAAGAACATGAAAATAGAAGGGTGACTATCTGGGAAGAGGGTGAGGACCAGGAGGATGGGGAGTGGGGGAGACAATAGGGATATTAAAGAATGAATATACTAAGGCCATGATTACAGACAGAAATGTCATATGGAACCCATTATTCTATGCAACAAATCTACACCAATAAGAAATAAAATGATCTTACAAAGAAGAAACATCCTCAAAACTCAGATGTTTACTTGTAAGTAAAATGCCACCTGGGTGTTCTCCACACTTGTGGGAGGTGTTGGGTGCAGAAATGCCATCTTGAGCCTGGAGGGTGGTACGTCTGTGGCCGCTAGAAGAAGCACTTTAGAAACAGTTCCAGATCTGCCAAGGACAGCCTCAGGTGCCATTCTTTGGGCCCAAGCCACCAGCAACCTTTTTAAAATTTTCTTTTTAAAGGGGTCTCTCACTGGTCTGGAACTTGTCAAGTACTAGGCTGGCCGGCCAGTGGGCCACAGGAACTCATTGTCTTCACCTCCCCAGCGCTGGGATTTACAAGCAGACAGCAGAATTGAACCCACACCCTCATGCTTACAAGCCTTTACCCACCAAACTATCCCCCAGGCCTTGTTTTACTTTTGAAAGTCATTTCTCATCTCCCAGGTGTCGGATGCTTTTAAAACGTTGTTGAGATGGTTATGTGAGGTAAAACAATCGCGGGATTGTAGTGGTGTCAGGTCCGGCAAATCCCTAAAGTGCTGTAAGGATCGCCACAGTCAAGTATTCATCTAACCAATTCTGTCATGACATTGCTGGGACATCAGGATAAACTTGTAACGGCTAACAGTGCTCAACTAACAACCTCTGGAGAACTCTCATTCTCCACAGATGAGGAGACT